CTGTGGGCGGCCCACTGCAGAGGGCCTCCTGAGGAAGTGCTGCCTGGCAGGTCCTGTTTGCCCCGGCTGGAGCCCAGCGAGGGGTGGGTGGAAGGGAGGGGCTCTGAGGGGGTGGCGATGTAGGGGAGCCCTTCTGCAGGCCAGGCTGGGGGTCCTTGGTTTGGGGGCTGTGCAGCAGGATGGAACAATGTCTGAGACATGAGGCTCATCCTCAGCGAGGGAACCTGCAGGGGCCTAGGCAGCTTCCGAGCGAGGCTGCATGCGGTGTCACCTTTCCCTGTCTCTCTAAGGCCCCCTGAGGCCGGGCACACAGCTGTGGAGGTCAGGGCGGGGGTGCCACGGTCAAGTGGGCATTGCACACTGTTGGGAGAGGATGCCATGGTAAGTTCCCTGTGGGTGCCCAGAATGGGCAGATGGTCAGATTTTTTTTTGTCCAAGAACAAAATTTGCATTTTTCAGTGAAGTCTCCTTTTGAAATGGTACCAACTAATTAAAAAAAAAAACTTTTAAGCCACTTTACAGGCTGCAAAACTAGGGGTGAGGCCAGTTTGTTCTTTTAAAATTGTGGTAGCCTGACCATCTGGCTCAGTGGCTGAGCATCAACCTATGAACCAGGAGGTCACAGTTCCATTCCTGGTCAGGACACATACCCAGGTTGTGGGCTCGATCACCAGGAAGCAGCTGATCAACGATTCTCTCTCTTCATTGATGTTTCTCTCTCTCCCTCTCCCTTCCGCTCTGAAATCAATAAAAATGTGTATTTTTTTAAATTGTGGTAAAATACACATAATACACTATTGGACATTTTAACCATTGCTAAGTGTATAATTCAGAGGTATTAAGTACATTCACAATGTCGTGTAATTATCACCACTGTCTGCTCAGAACATTTTCATTGTTTGAAACAGAAGCTCTGCACCCATTGAACAGTAACTCTCCCTCTGCCCCCTCCCCCCGCCCCATCCCAAGGCCCAGGTAGCCTGTATTCTTCTCTCTGTGTCTGTGAAGTGGTCTATTTTGCGCATCTCATGTAAGTGGGACCATGTGTCTCTGTCCTTTGGTGCCTGGCTTATGTTACTGAGCGCAATGTTTCAAGGCCTATCGGTGTTGTAGCCTGTGTCAGAATTTCCTTCCCTTTTAAGGCTGAATAGTACTCCACTGCATGGTGGACCACGGCTTGTTTATCCATCCATCCGCTGCTGGGCACCTGGCCGTTGGCACCCACGGGCCTCTGCTTTCTTGGAAAGAGCTCTCGTGCCCTGGCCACGGCTTACATGGCGACTCATCTGACTTCGGTGATTTTCATTGTAATCGTGTTGACCGGTAGCTGAGGGCTGGGGCACACAAGGAGGTAGACATCCTCTGAGGACGTTCCAGACCATGGGGAGACAGTGAGAGTGGTGGTGGGGTGCCCAGGGTGCTCTTGAACCCTGAAGAGACCACAGCTGGGTCTTCCAGGAGGAGCCACCTGGGACGCCTGCCCACCTTTGTTAACCTGGCAGAGGAATCTGAAACCAGGTGAGGTTGGTGGGATAAGGAGTGCTGGCTCTAAAGCCAGGCTGCCTGGGCTCCACTTGGGCTTCTCCACCCATTGGCTGTGTGTTCTGGGGCCAGTGCCTCTACCTCTCTGTGCCTGAGTATCCTCACCTGCCAGATGGTGGTGGTGATCGGACCCGTGGCCCAGGGTTGTCGTGTGTATTCACCAAGTCTGTACCTATAAGGTGCTTCGAGTGATGTCACATGTAGCAAGTGCTGATAGGCAGTAGCTATTATTATTATTTTTTGGGGTGGGGGGAGGTGAGAATGGTTCCCATAGAGGCTGGGGCAGAGGAAGGCCCCAGGTTGTGCAGGGCGCTCATGACCACTGTGGGAGCTTGGATGGTGTCTGGAGGCACAGGGAACAGGGAAGGGCTTGAGGAGATGTGCACGCACCTTCATGATGGCCGTGACCCTGGAAAGATCCTGCCCACGCAGGCCCTCACTCCAGCTTCCCAGGAAGCCGTTCATCATCTTTCTGCTCAATAGCCTGGAGCCTCTCTCCCTGAAGCATCTTCGTCACTGAGCTCCTGTGCTAGGAGCTCCTTAGTCGGTGACAGCTGCCCCCTGCCTGCCTGTGGACGGCCTCTTCCTTCTCCAGGCCTCCCTAGCTCCAGCCGATGGTGCTGGGTGGCCAACTTCTAAGGGTGCTCTCAGACAGCTGCACTGGAATCTGTGATTGTTCGTGGGCGGAGTTTATTTATACACGCCCACCAGGCAAGGAGGAAAGGGTGACATCTAGGGAGAAGGGCTCTCTCCCATTTCTCTTGCATCCGTAGACCGTGAGAACTTTGCTCTCGGCGACACCCTGTTGTTCTGCATTGTCTGTTCTTGGTCTCACTAGCGTGAGTCAAGTCAGAGAACTAGGAGGGAGTGGAGGGGACAGAAGTTTTATGGAATACTTCCTGATCACTTTCCCATGAATTTTCATCCCAATTATGAGTCAAATTCATATGGATAATGAGCCTCACTGAAAGGTTCTGTTGGTGGCAGACTCAGTTCAGCCAATGAGAGGTGAAGAAGGGGGTGACATGCCGACAGCAGCACATGGTTCGTCTCCTTGCTGACGCCCTACCTGGTCTTCTGACACGGAGCTCACAGTGCCATGCGCGAACAAGGGTGCGCTCTCTGACAAGGACCCATGCCCAGCTTGCATCCACCGAGGGGGCACACCTGTCTCTGTTGGAGAACCTTTGACCTCTTATTGACAAAGGAATGAGGGTTTTTCTCTGACTGGTTCTGTCCGGGCTTTGCACATAGAAAGTATCATTTTTATGGCTTCAAACACCTTGATAGCCATCTATCGACCTTGCCGTGCTTCCTTCTGAGCAGTGGCTGAAGTTTCCTTCTGGCTTTTCCTTGGCCCATCAGCAGCCTTCAGCACTGCTGACACATGTGTTTGCTCAGACATGAGACGCTCACTAGGCACCTGCAGTCGTTGGGTGTTGCAGAGATGGCGATGATAGAAGTTGGTCCCTCCCACTGGGATCTTACGCATGAGTGAAAGTTGGTGCTGGAGCCACCCGCCCTCCTCCCTTTGGACACAAACCAATGGCTTCCCCCGGCGTTTCAGGAATTGCACCCAATAGAACCGCCAGGCCCACCAAGGCTTGCAGACTGCTGAGGGCCGAGGCTCTAGCTGGGCCATTGCTTGTTGTTAAGATCGTCTAGATTGCATTAGCTTTGGCAGCCATCACAAGACTCTTTATTAATTATTATTTTGGGGAACATGTTCTATACTACCAAGTTCAGCTAAGGCACGGACACCAGGTTTCTTTGGTTGAACTCTAAGAGGCCAAGATGATATGGGTTCAAAACTACTCTATCACAGATGTTAATAGCTGTGCTTTATAAGGGGGGCCTTAAGGATGCACCCGAAAGGCATACTGATAAGTAAAATAAGTCAGGAAGAGAAAGACAAAACTGCATGATTTTATCATTTTTGGAATCTTAAAAAAAAACAAAAACAATAAAAATCAAAACAAAAGAAAAACTCATAGATATAGAGAACAGATTAAGAGAGGGATGGGAGTTGGGAGGAGGGTAAAAGTAGGGTTCTGTTGTATGGTGATGGATAGTAACTGGACTTTTGGGGTGATCACTTTGTAGTGTATACAGATGTCGAATTATGGTGCACACTGAAATGTATAATTTTATAAGGGGGAAGGGTTTTTTTTTTGTTTGTTTTTTACCTAATGTTGGGACACGGCGCATACCCTTGTCCACCTTGGAGAATTATGCTTCACCTGAGCAGGTTAAAGGCTCTGAGAAGGCCTGCAAGAAAGAAACCCATTTGACTTTGACTTGGCACTTTCTAAATGCTCATTAGCTTGTAGAATTTGTTTCCCGTTCTCGTAAACCCATTTAATAATCCTCAGAGCCAGCGTTGCACAAAACACCCTGGGAACACGGGTGGAAATGATTTGTTGGAGCCAAACCCTGCCCAGCGGCCAATGTAGGTGGTCAGCGAAAGAGATCTATTATTTGCAAATGCAGAGTTTGGTTTGGCCTGGCTTCTTGGCCCCAAACCGGGGAGCTAGTGCTGAGCTTCAGGGGAGCGAGTTCACTATTGAGCAAACCGCTCATCGGCTGTTGCAATGAGCCGTGTGGGCTCCGGGCTGACTGTTGACTGAACGGTGGAGGGTGGGACCCTGTGTTTCCATTCTCTCCGGTGACTCATAAGCCAGGACATCTCAGGACAGACGGGGAGCCACCTGTGTGCGCAGACAGCCGGGAAGGGGTGTCCTGGGCAGCCAGTGGTGTGCAGTGGGCATTTTGGAATTAGTCTTTGGTGGAAGCATAGAGTATAATGTGTAATAATGCTACTTATATTTTGAAAGAATAAAAGATATATATGCATTCAGATGCGGAGAAATAGATAATGGTGATGGGATGGTAGGCAGTCCCCCCCACCTTATATTTTATTTGCGCCCAGTTTTCTTTCTTTTTTAAAAGATATTATTTTTTAAATATAGATTTTTATTGTATAATATATATTTTAAATCTATATAATAGTTTTAAATATATTTTTTATTGATTTAAGAGAGAGTAAGGGAGAAGGAGAGAGAGAAACATCAGTGATGATAGAGAATTATTGATTGGCTGCCTTCTGCACACCCCGTACTGGGGATCAAGCCTGCAGCCGGGGCATGTGCCCTTGATTGGACTCGAACCCAGGACCCTTCAGTCCACAGGCTGATGCTCCATCCACTGAGCCAAACTGGCTAGGCTGTTGCCCTATTTTCTATTGCCACCATGGGTTTCCTTTGCAAAAAGAAAGATACAGATATGACAAGAAAAATACATATGTGTGCATCTATACATCTGTTCCACCAACACACATGTACGCCATACTGAAATGATATCACACAAAAACCAAGATAAAGAGGCTTCGGTGAGTTTGTGTCTTAAGTGTTTGGTTCCTAACAGTTCCTTCAGAGACTGTCACCCTTGGATTTTTCCAGATGGGCAGCAGATCTGGGAGATGGAGGCCACCGTGGACAAAGACAAGAGCCAGCCTGTAAGCATCGGGCGAGAGGACCGAATGCCCTGACCGTGTCCTGCCTACCTCCCTCGGGTCCTTTTCCCTCCTCCTCCCTTTCCTACACCAAAGTCCCAGGGCTTTGGACCTTAGCAGCCACGCAGTAGGTATTGAATGGACGACTTAAGTAAACGCCCCATGAGCACCAGGCCGCTGGTTTGTAACTGTGACATCTTACTGTTCTCCGATGGAGTAAGTGGCGGTTCTTTCTTTGCCGAGACTGAAAGGTCAAATTCCCCCGAAATAGCCCTTCACCTGTACACGTATGGCACGTGTCCTGACTCCAGGTAGACAGGCTGGCTCCACGTGCGTGGGGCCTGGATGGGAATGTAGATGTTGCCGCCGTGAAGTTAATGACAACCCCTTCCTTCCAGAACATGCTTTTCGTGGAGATCCCCGAGTACCGGAACAAGCACGTGCGCACGTCGGTGAAGGTGAACTTCTACGTCATCAACGGGAAGAGGAAACGAAGCCAGCCTCAGCACTTTACCTACCACCCAGGTAGGGAGCCTCCCGGAGGCCCCTGTGGTGGGGAGGCAGCAGGAGCGTGTGGGTGAGGGCCCGGGGTCTGCTGCCGGCGGGTGACTCGGGCTGGTGGTGCAGGAGTCAGGTGCACAGCAAGTGCTCACTCAGCACAGCAAACTGGCTGCAGGGAAGTGAGCTGTTGTGTTGTCAGTATTTACCTCTGGGAGGGCGGGGCTGGGAGAGGCATGTGAGGGCTTGTTCCGCATAAGGCTGCAAAGCTGGTGACTCCTATCCCTGCCTTAGGTGTGATCATCTTTTTCTTTTTCTTTTAATTCTTGGGTTCAACTTAAGCTTTTCCACTTTTTTTTTTTTAAGTTTTAAAAAATATATATATTTTATTGATTTTTTTACAGAGAGGAAGGGAGAGAGATAGAGAGCTAGAAACGTCGATGAGAGAGAAACATTGACCAGCTGCCTCTTGCACAGCCCCTACTAGGGATGTGCCTGCAACCAATGTACATGCCCTTGACGGGAATCGAACCCAGGACCTCAGTCCACAGACCGACGCTCTACCGCTGAGCCAAACCGGTTTCGGCGTTAGGAGTGATCATGACAGGGAGAGAGGTGACTGTGCCCCAAACCTATGGAATCTCTCGCTGAGCCCACTGTGGGTGGTGACCCTGTGGCAGGTGGAGTTCCTGGGTGGGTAATCAGTCCAGGAGGTCTCATTCTCACAAAATAGTCCCAGGAGGGGTGACAGGGCCATTTCATTCATTCATTTGTTCATTCATTCATTCATTCAGAAAATATCTGAGGGCAGGTACTGAGCTGGAGACACAGCAGTGAACACAGCAGATCAAAAGCCCTGCCCTCGAGGAGCCGCGGCCCTAACAGAGGGGACTTGGATCTAAGTGATACTGATATGATTGACATATCAGATGAGGAGGGGCCTGAGACAGGCCCACTAGGCACCTTCCCAGAATGGGAAACCTGTCATCAAAACTGTCACCCCGAGTGTAATTTCTCTTCCGTGACAGTTTCCCAGGGGGTCTCTCTCTGGATTGCTGGAAGCATGAGCCTGAGCGGCCGTGCTGAGAGCCTGGCTGGGGGCCTTGGCCTTGGCAAGGTGCGTCCATGGGTTTGCGTGGCCCCGCCCAGGGCTGACGTGCCAGGCCGCGGGTGGCACGCCACGTCCCAATGGGACCTCACTCGGCGGAGACGGGCTCTGGGAGGGCTGTGGACGGCATCACCACAGTCGCGCTCACGCAGAGGTTTTCAGTTACGTTTTATGGCTTCTCACCTCTCGTGTGGAGGGGAGGCCGCCCTGGGCCTGGCTGGCACGCACCTGTCTGAGCGTGGTCCCCGTGAGGACTCGGTCCCTTGTCGGGCCGGGATTGAGATGGTGGCCTTCGGATGGCATCTCGAGGAATGGTTTCTGTGGTTGGTGTCAGAGCTGTGTGTTTGCTTTTTAAAAAAATATATATTTTATTGATTTTTTTTACAGAGAGGAAGAGAGAGGAGAGGGATAGAGAGTTAGAAACATCAATGAGAGAGAATCATCGACCAGCTGCCTCTTGCACACCCCCCACTGGGGATGTGCCCACAACCAAGGTACATGCCCTTGACTGGAATCGAACCCGGAACCCTTTAGTCTGCAGGCCGACGCTCTATCCACTGAGCCACACTGGTTTGGGCTGTGCGTTTGCCTTGAGGGCTGAACCTCCTGGCCTCCTCCAGCCCCCAACCTGTGGGAGGAGACCCCCCTTTGATTACTGTCCTGTCACCAGTTCATTTACTCCGGTGCCAAGAAAGCTCATTCCTTAGCTCTGAGGCTGGATGTCGGAGAAGGACACATTCCGGTGGCACTTCTAGGTGGGGAGAGAGGGACAGTGGGGACAGTAACCCCAGCACCACCAACAGTAGCAATAGTAATAATGATTGCAACAACGGGCATTGAGCACTTGCTGTATGCCAGTCCCTGTGCCGAGTACCCTGCACACATAGCTCATTTAATCCTCCCAATAACCCCACTGGGTGAGTGCCTGTGACTCCCAACTAACAGATGGGGAAACTGAGGCCCCACCCTGCAGGTCTCATCCCCTCAAAATCCTATAGAACCAAGGAGGCCGACAGTCAACATTCGGTCATTTCTTGACCAGAAAATATCTGTGTGCCAGTTAAGTTCCAGGTAATGTTTTAGGTGTTAGGGACCCAGCGTTGAACAAAACAGACAACCCTCCCTGCCCCCCCACCCTCCCCAAAAAATCTCCTTTTGAGGAGCTGACATTCCAGTGGGGGGTGTTCAGACAAACAAGCCCATCTACAGAACGTATCAGGTGGTGATGAATATGATGGACAGCGAGAAGGGAAGGGGCGGGGACTGGTAGGCAGAGGGAGGAGGGGGACCATCATTTTAGTCAAACATTCTTCTCTGAGTGCTCCTCCTGGGGAGAAAGGCTGCAGACACCCCGGGCTGAGACCACCTGCTATTCACAGACCACCCTTCGACCACTGGAAAGACCTGTGGTTCAAGGTCATTGCCCGGGGTTAGGTTTCGGACCTAAGACCATTGCACAGGGAGCCCCTTGCCTGAGGCTAACGAATGTCAGAGCCCAGCTTTTTCACCCACCCATTCAGACTCCCGAGGCCATGTGCCCAACCCCTGCCCTCTGACCCTCTGTGCACACCTGCGGCTTACTAAGAACGGTGCACCCCGTGTGCTTTTCTCTCAGTCCCAGCCATCAAGACAGAGCCCACGGATGAATATGACCCCACCTTGATCTGCAGTCCCGCCCACGGGGGCCTGGGGAGCCAGCCTTACTACCCACAGCACCCCAGGGTGGCCGAGTCCCCCTCCTGCCTCGTGGCCACCATGGCCCCCTGCCAGCAATTCCGCTCGGGGCTCTCGTCCCCCGACGCCCGCTACCAGCAGCAGAACCCGGCGGCTGTGCTGTACCAGCGGAGTAAGAGCCTGAGCCCCAGCCTGCTGGGCTACCAGCAGCCAGCCCTCATGGCCACGCCCCTGTCCCTCGCGGACGCCCACCGCTCGGTGCTGGTGCACGCCGGCTCCCAGGGCCCGAGCCCGGCCCTGCTGCACTCCTCTCCCGCCAGCCAGCAGGCCTCGCCGGTGATCCACTACTCGCCTACCAACCAGCAGCTGCGCTGCGGGGGCCACCAGGAGTTCCAGCACATCATGTACTGCGAGAACTTCCCCGCCGGCTCCGCCAGGCCTGCCCCGCCCCCCGGCAGCCAAGGCCAGAGGCTGAGCCCGGGGTCCTACCCCACGGTCATTCAGCAGCAGAATGCCACAAGCCAAAGAGCCGCCAAAAACGGACCCCCGGTCAGTGACCAAAAGGAAGTGTTACCTGCAGGCGTGACAATCAAACAGGAACAGAACTTGGATCAGACCTACTTGGATGACGGTAAGATGCTCATTTTCCTTATTGCCCCTGAAGAAGATGCCTCGAGCGCCCACCCCCCACCCCCACCCCCAGTTCACTTACGGCCTGAGTATCTTCCTTTACCCCTCTGGGCCTAGTGTCCCTTCTGAAATGTAAGGGGTTGCAGAAGATGGCCCTTGTGCCTCCCCCAAGCCTCTGCATGCACCATTTCCCGGCAGGACCTCTGGGGCGGGCGGTAGGGGATTTAGATCCCCCCTCCTCCCCCCTACAACCATCATACGAGGAAGAGCAAGCGTTCTGCTGCAGGAGCATCCCAGGGTCATGAACAGGGCCAGTGTAACTGCTTCCGCTCACTTCCCATTTGCCAAATTTAGACCGAGGGCAGGAAAACGGAAGGGAAGAAGCGAACCTTTTATTCCTGTGGAGGAAAAACCCCCACTTTATAGCCCTCTTTTGTGTGTTTGGGGGTGGAGAAAGGGAAGGGGAAAGCTCACTGCCAAGCTGCGCTGTGAGGAGGGAGCATGAATGGGGGCTGGCGGGCAGGCCGCGGGCCTCGCTGCCTGCGCGGGCGGAACAGAGAGGCACATTGACGGGAGGGGCGCCGTTGTGGTTGTGGTCGGGCCAAGGACAAGGGCGGAGGCGGCTTTGGACGCGTCTGTAGGTGCCCGGGCATCCTGGCGGGGCCCAGCTGGCGAGTATCAAGTTGGAGTGGCCGTGTACGTGACCTGGTCTGGTCTGCGACACTCACCTGGGGCCAGCCAGGTGCCCCTGAAGGACGGCGAGGGCAGGCAGGCCAAGCAGCCTTCCCCCCTGGGGCCCCAGAATCAGGAAAAGGGGTGGTTTGGGTTTCTTTACGGGAGAGGGAAAACCAGTATCACTGGCTGCCGTCCGCAGCCCCAGCCTCACACTGTAGAGACATTGGCATCTGATACACCCCGAGACCTCAATTATTTAGGAAAATGGACTCTCAGAAAGCCAGCCGAGGGGTAGGAAGTGAGGCAGAAAGCTTCCCCGTGGCCACAGGCGTTGTCATAGAGACCAGGTACAAAACATCAGACACGTGAGGGCAGGACATTTTGGGGGCTTACTAGGGCCTGACTGACTTTAGGCAAAGTTTTGATGATGTGGGTTACCTCAGGCGGTTTCCGTGTCTTCTCTCTGGTGAAACTACCCACCTAAAACTGCCCCAGATGCATCCAGCAGAGATCACCAGGGCCAGCCCAAATGTGCAGGGTCAGACTGCTCCACTGTTAGCCTCAAGGCCTTGCTGCATGAATAATGGATCCGTCTAATCCGGAGCACTCAAGCACAGGTTGGGTTAGGTTCACCGGACTCCGTTTCGAAGGGCAGATCCAGGTGCAATCCATTCTGGAACAATGCACACCCAAAATGGTTAAGATAAGCGTCTGGTTTATCTTATTTCCAGGGAGCTCCTCCGGTAGAACATGCCAATGATACAAATGCCCTTTGCGAGCGGATAAGAGAAACGCGGCTGTAACCAGACCCCTCTCCACGTGCGGGCTGGTGTGTGCGTGGGTGGGGGAGGGGGGTGTATCAGGGCCGAGGTGCTTTATAAATAAATGAGTGCCTGAACAGCTGGCTCGTGTCCGGGGGGGGGGGGGGGGGGAGGAGAGTATGTGTCTGCCATCTTTGCCCAGCTGGCTCGTGTCCGGCGTTGGCTCAATGTCCGGACTGAGACGCGTGCCAGCCCCTCCCACCCTGTCTGTCATCCCACATTACAGGCAGCGAGTGGCTTGGGCAGGAGCAGGAGTAAGGCCCTCTGTCCCTGGCTCTCCACGACCCACCGATATCCATGGGGCCTGAGGGGGTCAGGAGTCACCTTTGCACATCAGAGCCTCAGACCACAGCGGAGCTCCCCGTATTCTCAGAAGTCTATGCTGTAGAGAAAGTGGCTGAGAATGGGTGCCTTCTCAGGCCTCCTAGGTGTCTTTCTGGACACAGACAGGTTCAAAGTCATGGCGAGAGGGGGCTCTGGCAGGTCAGCAGCACACGTAGGCCCAGGTACGTTGACGAGCTGAGTGTGGTGAAATCGCTTCCCCTGAAGGAGCCTTCGCCTAAGAACATTCTGCACAGCCTGCTCCATGGGGTCGGATGAGGCATCCTCTGACGCCAGGGTTCCACGGCTTTTTATTAATTTAAAATTTATAATTAGTGACAGTTGACATTGGATATTATTTTGTGTTTGGTTCAGGTGTAACAGCATAGTGGTTAGACAGTCATGCACTTTACAAAGTGATCCCCCCAGTATTTTAAGTGCCCACCAGGCACCGTACATCGTTATTACAATACTAGAGGCCTGGTGCACGAAAATTCAAGAGAAGGCCTTCGCAGCCCCGGCTGCCTCACAGGCCCTACCTCTTGCCTTGGCCTGGTACTGCCCACATCTGCCACCATACACCCTGGTTCCCCAGAGTTTCCCCCCACCCCCCACCCCCCGATCAATTGCCCTGCAGAGGGTGGTCTGGGCCTCCCTCTTGGGGGTAATCATGGAGTGCCTCCCTTCCCCCCATTGATCCACCAGCCAGTGGCCTGGGCCTCCCTCTGCAGGGTGATCGTGGGGTGATGGCAGACACATACTCTCCTCCCCCCCACCCACCCCTCCCCACCCTGACCAATCACATGGCACCCGCCTTGGCTGGCCTGGCTCCAGTGCATGTCATAGATGTCATAGCGTGGTCATCCGATGGTCATTCTGCTGCTGGAATTTGCATGTTACACTTCTATTAGTATAGATTGTTGATTGTGTTCCCTATGCTGTACTTTAAAAGCTGAAAAAAACTTATTTAAGCCAAGTTTTTAAAAAACTCGTATACAGCAGGACTTGTCAGAGCCTTTACTGCACTAGTGGACGTTATACATCTCTCAGATAAGAGGAGGTGGCACTTTCCTGGGCCCCCAAAGGGCAGCAGTGTGACTGCTGGTTAGACGGTCGGTGCTTGACCAGCATTGTCCCCAAGGCTCTGTCCACACAGGACCCTCCGATGTGGGGGAGGGGTGGGTCCCACGTGGCTGGTTGTGCCCAGTGGTAAGCCCTAACCACACCGCCCTACAGCCACCAGGTAGAGGTGGGTGCAGTCTTGCCTCCTAGTTGCTGGAATATCAGATCCCTCTTACCGGCCTGGCAGCCGTGGAACATCCTCAGATCCCGCTGTTGGCTGTACAAGGAGAGGATTCGCTCAGTCTGTTGTTTTGGGTTTATTGCTCACAGGTGAACTGAAATCCTGGCTCATTCCTCTGGTCAGGTTGGGAGACAGGGAGGTTTCCCAGGTCCCTTTCTGTCCCTGTCATTGGCTGCTCCAAAGGGATCGTTCCCCCAAAATACGTACCGGCCTGCACCAGCTCCAGCTTGTCGGAAGTTCTCAGGGGCCATTTAATTTCCTTGGGGTTTTGGCAGAGCAGACTGTCCTTGGAACTTGGGGAGAGCTGGGATTCGTGTTTCGAGGGCCCATGGACGGATCCACAGAGGGTAAAGGAAAGGGTCCCAGTGGACGAGGCCCACGTGAAAACTGACACGCCACTGCCGGCCACCCCGGGAAGCCCCGAGTTTGCTTTTCTTTCCTGGCCTTTGCTCGCGGGCCAGAGTCTGGTCTGGGTGTCCACCTGGCTGCCCTGCTGTGTCCGTCTGCTTTTCATCTCTCTCTCCCGACTGCATTCCTGCGCACAGACGCTGTCTGTCTGGGCTCCGTTTTTTCTTGGAACTCCAAAATGCCACTTCGACTTGCTCCACTCCAAGGGCTGGAGACATTTTCAAAAAGCTTCTTTTTGAAACAGTCAAGTAAGTGATATTCCAGGGAAGCACAAACCCTCACTCCCTCTCTCCTTGGCTCCTCTGCCCACTCCGAATCAGGTGCTTTTTCTTGGTTCTGAAATGTGTCTCACACTCGCTCTTTTCCCTGCTCCCTCGTCCCCTTCTCGAAGGAGTGCCTTCTTCTAAATGCAGCTGCTGGTTGCACCTGGGGAACACGTGAGGAGGTGGGCTTGGGGAAGATTGGAGGGAACGGTGTTTAGGGAGAGGGAACAGCTGTGGGGGAGGTTAGGAGGTCAGAGGAGTGTGCTAGCGTTGGCGGGTTTTTGGCTGCAGCCGTGTGATTTGACTCACCCTTTGAAAAGATCGCTCTGGCTGCATTTGGAAAATGGTCTCCAGGGAGGCAAGAATTGGGAAAGAAGGGATATATTTCATTCTGGACTAAGCAGGTGGGCGGCTCGAGTCCTGCCCAGGACTGTGCTGGAGGGCGGCACACCCTTTCCCTAGCGTGGCCATCCCAGCTGCCACTGCGTTGCCCTATACCGGTGCCCTCATGGAAGACACAGAGCATGAAGGTGTGTGGTCCCCACTTCCAAAGGCCAGAAGAGCCAATTTTTAAATTCTCCTATAAAAATACATTTAAAAATGCCCCAGAGCACAGGCCCCCTCCCTCCCACTCCCCTCCACCCTGCGGGATGTTAACCAGCACGAGGGAGATGATGCCCTTGGCCCAGGGGCAGCTGGGAAGTGCCGCGAGTGTGCCCCCTGACAGACTGTGGACCAGTGGCCCAAGGGTCGCTGGTTGTGCTCTTGGCAGAGGGACCGGGGAGGGGTGTCCTTTGAAAAGGCTCTTTGCCCAGAAGCAGGAGGTGCTCGTGCATGAGAAGCCGGCCAGGGAAGAGAGAACAGAAGGCTGCACGCTCTGAAGCACAGGAAGCGGGAAGGGAGCCGAGGAGGGGAGAGCATTCCGTGACCAGCAGGCTTTGTTCGGTGGGCCGGCAATCTTTTACCGGGGCCGCTCCGTGCCCACGGCAAGCCGGCGACACAGCAGCTCCTGTTCGGCGAGGCGTGCAGAGCCTGATACAGCCTGGTGGCTGCTGAGGACCACACATGGCCGCAGTCACATGGGCTCTATGTGGCTCAGCCTCCCGGGGACTGGGACAGTGGTGCCTTGCTCTGTAGGGTGAAACTCAGGGATTCTCTACTGTGATGGGAACCAAGAGAAATGGTTGCCTGGCTCAGCGGCCCCGAGGCC